TCTCTCTGTGTGTGTCTCTCTGTCTCTGTCTCTGTCTCTCTATCTCACTCTCACTCTCACTCACACTGTGTGTGTGTGTGTGTGTGTGTCTCTCTCTCTCTCTCTCTCTCTCTCTCTCTCTCTCTCTCTCTCTCTGTGTCTGTCTGTGTCTCTCTCTCTCTCTCTCTGTGTCTGTCTGTCTGTCTCTCTCTCTCCTTCTGGAAGTTCCCTTCTTGAAAAGAAAAAAGGCAAACCCAGTTCACTGAAAGGGACTCCAGAAGGTGAATCCTCAACCACTGAATGAAAAGTTGAGAATTCGTGTGTCCAAAACTTTGGACCCCCTCAAAAATTTGGAAGGAGTCAGAAGAGAATTGGAGGAAAAATAATCTTGTCATCTGTAATGCAGACTGGTGCCAGAATTTACTTTGTTTATTTGTTCTCTGCTCACTCAGAAATTTGTGTGTTAGCATTTTTCTTTGTGTATCTGTTTGTTTATGTGTATGGGATTTTTTAAAGAAGTATGAAATTTAGCTAAGGGTGAATAAGCTATAGAGAATTCTAAGTAAGTAATATGTGTTTCCTTTTTGCCATCAATTAAGAACAGTCTGTTTGTAATAAATAGTGATTGTCCAGTCAGGTACAGATGAGATTTGTCAATCAAGTAAATTGGGGACTTTGGATAGTTCAATTAAATCTTAACAGTTGTGATGTTTCTGGGAATAGTGGGGCTTTGCTTCCAGCTTATTACCCCAGCGAGTTGTGACAACTGGTGCAAGGGTCAGTAACCACAGTGTTAGAGTTATTATATCTTGCAAAAGAGATACAGGTAAGATAAGAGGAGTTTTTTTTTAAGGCAGCAAGTTGTTTGATTCGGAAATCACTTCCGGAAAGGGTAGCGGAGGTAGATGCAGCAGTGACTTCCAAAAGACTTTTGGATAAAAGAATGAATAGACTAAATGTTGCATGGCTATAGGGAAAGAGCAAGGAATGAGGTTAATCCAGAAGCTCTTTTGAAGAGCTGGCAGAAGAAAGATGGACTAAAGACCTTCTGTTTTGCAGGATATATGTTCCTGCACCTTGGGTGGAATTATCCTTTCTTTGTACAAAAACAGAAGTGAGCATATCAGATGATGACTAACACATCCCTGCCAAGATAATTCACCCAGTCCACTAGAATTTCATTATCACAGTGGCTTGGTATGAAAATCTTGTCCAAACACCCTCTCGGTGGAAGTGCTATCAAAGCTATGAGGCGCTCATCCTCAATAAAGTGAATCCCTTCCTGAGAAGAACATTTTTGTCAACCCCTCAGTTTTGCTGTCATGTATTTTGAGGCACTATTGCTTTTCAATTTAAACAATCCGTATTTGAGCCACATTACAAGTTATCTTAAACTTATATTAAATGTCAAATATGCAAATGTAGTTTTTTAATTGAAGCAATTGGAGACTACCCCACCACCTCCAGCAAAACCAACCTAGAAGATATGTCACCATGGTTGTCTTGTTGGAAAACTAGCCACCTTTCTTTTGTACCAGGGAGCCATTTAATCAGGGAGGTGATGAGCTGAGGTCATTTATTGACCAATCAAAGGCTTTTATTGCTGGTGAGGCAAGAAAGTACCCAATGGATGTTCTTGCTGAGAAATTAATTGCTGAGGTGGTGAGAAGGGGGTGCATCTCTTTCCAAGGCCAGCTTGTCCCACTGTTTCCCCTGTCGTCACCTTGATGACCATCTCTAGGAGGCAAAATTCTGCTCCTTGTCTGTTTTTATATTTCATTTCACTCAGTTGTAAACCTAGAATTAGGAAAATGCATTTTTACCACAAATTATTGTTAAGATTGCATTTGAAATGATTTGTTAAAATACTCAAAAGGATAATAAACACTATTACTTATGTCTTGAGTTCTAAAGACTTACTGGAATTGACATGTTTGCTTTAGAAACTTAGATTACGTTTGTCTTCACATAAAAGTTTGATTCCATTGAAGAAATAAAATGTGCAATATCACTGTACATTAAAGAATGTGGCATCTACAATCTTTAGCAGAACTGTAATGTGCGAGAATTAACTTGACAGCTGCTTTGTGAGGTTTGAGGTAGTGGAAACTTTTTTTTCATGAGACTCAACTGTCACTGTGCCATGACATATCAGCTTTCAGAGCTGGCTCTCTATGTAGCATGGCGAGAATTCAAGTAACCACATGGGAATGGCATCTGAGGGTCAGCAGACATTGTTTCATTTTATTACGATGCAGCTAAAATTACCTCCTAACAGATAAACTTCCTGTTTGCATGCTGAGGCCAGATCTTTCAGATCATTTTTCTCTTCACTTAAACACTTTGATTTTCAGAAGTGATTTATTGCTGAACGAAAGCATATGGACATCGCAGTTCACTCACTGATCCAACAACTATTTATACAACAGATATGCCAGTATGTAGTTTCTCCTAATTTTAACAGCCTTAATTAGCATGATAGTTATTTCTGGGAAGACGTACATATTTTCTAAAACAATGTGTTGCTTCTTGGGAAAGATAGCCGTGTGGTTAGAAATGAAGGTATTTTAGATTTTAAGATTGCATTTCTGAAAGTAAAGAAGCATATTTGAAATCAAAAAACTACGTTTCATAGCTTAACTGAACTGTGTTAGCCATGCCCCTAAACCAGGAAAGGAACTTTATTCACATAGATACTGTTTAATCAAAGTAACCTTTGACAACCAAGGAGTTAAAATTGTCTCCCAATCTGTCTTGATAATCATCTTACAAAGATCCAAGGAGTTTCCTTTAATGAAATCAATACCAAAGGCTTTAGCTTTGACAGGTGCTGTGAATCCAATGGAATCTCATTATTGCAAACCTTTCATTACGAAAAACTTCCCCAAACACCCTCTCTCGATTTTGGTGGAAATGCCATCAAAGCTTATGAGGAGTTCAACCTCAATAAAGTGAATACATTACTGAGTCGAACATTTTTGTCAACCACTCAATGTTGCACTCATCTTTTTTGAGAAACTTGCTTTTGTGTTTAAAGAATCCATATTTGAGCTAAATTACAAGTTTTAAGTGTATATTGAATATCAAATATGCAACTATAATTCAAGCTATTATCTTAGTATGTCAAATGCACATTACTTTTCAAAACTAGTTCTGAATATGATTAGTTGCTATGATGCAAGTGATATGTTTATAATATGATTAAGTTTTGTTGGCATCTTGTAATCATATCAAGTAATATAATTTCAGTTTTTATACTTCACTGCTACCATAATGTTTGGCCCAAAACTGGTATAATGCAGTGATAGTGAAATTATGCCACAGTTTTAATATGAGACTACAAAGACATTGATTTAATGATGGAATAATTTCAAAATATATTTTGAGTTTAATCCTTATAAATAACATCTAATAATAAAATTGAGTCAGTAAGAAAATTGTTTCAAAAGTAAAATAATATTGAATTGCAATATCGAAATGCTTTTTTTTTTCTTTTATTTGCATTTCTTTTTATAATATGTTCAAATTTTATGATTGTATATTTGTTTAAACCCTCTTAGCTACAGTGTGTTCAGCAATAGATAAACTTGCCACCGATGGTACTGAAATGCAAGCGCTTTGCATCAAGGGTAAAATGCTTCATAAAATAACTGAAAATAGATTATTATAAGCTTCACTTGTGATTTATGATGCTTTCTTTGTAAAATGAGAATCTGAGCAAATGCCGCATGCCACACATTTCTGAATAGACCCTGGCTACCATCCTCTGATCTATGCAGAATTAATGTCTCTGTGAGCAAACCTTTTGATGGTGCATATGTGCTAAGTGCATGGATTTGCTGCTACAGTTTGAACATTTCTTAAATTAAAATGTATTGCCCCTCTAGATATATTGATTTACACATTGCTGTGTCAATATTAACTCCAACAATTTTTCCAATAACTAATAAGGATCTGCCAGTGTGGCTTGACTTCATCAGTGTGTGGTTTCAGTAGTATTTTGTCTTCTTTCCTATTTCTGGAGCTTTTCTTCTGTAGGTTTGATCATTTGTTGAGTGATGCTTGGATTTTGTAATTCTAGTTGATGTCTTGGTATTAAAACTTGTATATGTTTGGAGGATGGAGGGAGGGGAAGTTTATTTTTGGAAAGAGCATATTGAAGATGAGAGTATCTTGGCTTATTTTTAACTCTTAACACTCTACCACCGTGAGTTGTTTCAGATTCACATTGCCAACTTCATCAGCTGATAAACCAATCGTAGGTCATGAATTGGCTAAGCTGTTCTAAGTGATTTTAGGTGGCCTATTGAATTCAAATGTTGACATTCTTACAAGCCTGTTTTTAAGAATTTGTAAAGATACTTGCTATAATGAAGTTCAATGTATATGTGATGTCTATATAATTTAATTAGGAGTAATTCATCACTCTGTTTACTTCCATGTATGATGCTGTGTGGTTTAAAAAACTGTCATTTTTAGGAAAATAATTTGTAGCAGGCTTGTAATACATATGAGCTTGCTCTTATCCACAATTACCTCTCATTTGTAAAAATATCTGAAATGTAATTAAAAATTTAAGTAGGACAATCTAATTAAATGGATCCTTCTTCAGTTTAATTCTTTGTTGCTAAGAAAAAGTTTAATTCCATTAGGACTGCACGTAACATTTGTCTTTTGTTTCATTAACTGTTACATTTAAAATGCAGAATCTACTTTCTGTCACTAGATGCCACTGGTTCACTAGCAGTAGCGATGCATATATCTGCAAACATTTAATAACTCATAATTTTATTCCTGACATAGTCTGGTAACTTGCAGGTTTGATTATATTTTTGCTTTATCTACTCTTACCTAGTAAAATTAGTAATTCACAGTATGATATTGTAATGCTTTATGTGGCACTGACAGCAGGTGCCCATATTTAGTTACAGTCTTGAAGTACATGTGGTGTTTGCCTAAAGGTTTCCTCATTTTATTCTTCTGTTGATGTATGCCAACTTTCCTTTGCCTACTGAGTGTGCCTCCGTAACAGTAATACACACTCCTCCTTACTAAATTAAACCTGATTTGAGAGGATGCTGTTGGAGGCAGAACTGTTGATTTTTAACAGCAGGCAGGTACTGTCAACTTTGGTGAAATTGTTTAAATTGTTGGGATGTTTCATAATTGTATATTTCTCAAACACCAAAGCATGTTTTACTTGTTGCTGTTATTAGGCAGTGTCTTTTTTTTTGTCTTGGGTTTCCTTCCTCCCGTTTTGGCAATTTTCTGTTTTTGTTTCTCTCATTCAATCCATCTATTCCGATTAGTTTTCTTTTCATTTTGCAGTCCTTATGATATTGCACTTGGTGTAAGTTTATTCCATTAAGTGGTAGATTTTGTGTGGGTGCGTCTTGCATGACTAGGTAATTTCTTATCTCAGTGCTTGTGTTTGCTGTTGCAACAAAGAGGCAGAGAATACAACTGAAAGACAGTGCTTTCCTCCTGTTCCTTAAACTCATGACACAGTATTTTCATATCACACAAATCTAGGAAGGCTTGCTTTCCATAATATCCTTTTGTGGACTTGTTTAGACCTTTTATATATGCAGAAATTAGACAAGAGTGGAAATTCTATATTTTTCAGTATTATTATAACTACAGTTATGAGGCATCTCTTTGAAGTGAGTGGTTGCCAATAGCTTCATAACTATTCATAATCGCTTGACCAAGTCAGATGGTCAGTTTTTACTGATGTCTTGATATTTTTGCTTTGATTTAAACTCGTTTGAGACTTCACAAACTTGCTTCAATTAGAATACCTGCTTCTACCTTTTCCTCATCTGTCCATGATTGCTCTACAGCCCATCTGACCCAAGGATTCACAGGTGTATTCTGACCCATTACACCACCTTATTTTATGTCATATGTGAGATTGGTTTTGCAGTTATTTTATTCATGCAACAACTTTTATCTTTAAGTTTATTATAGTATTGATTGGAAGACTTTATCTATTGGGATAATTCCAAATTTTTGTGGAAGTATGTTCTTCAATTTATTCTATTCCTACCTCCATTGTAAAGTTCTAAGGATGAAACATTTCCATTAGAATCCCTATTATTTCAATTTCTAACAGAGGTAGAGACTGTTCAATGTAAGATGAAGAATTTTATTTGCTATGTGTCCTATGACATGGCAATTATTCAAATCTGGTCTTCCTTTTGCTTATCAAAGCTTTTTGCCACAACATATTTCCTCAATTTCAGGATTGTTTCACTTATTTTTTTATTTCTATTCAGAACATTCAAACTTTGGGTAAATTATCGGTTTAAAATTGTTAGCACACAAACTTACTACTCGACAGTTGAAAATCTGCAATGTAATAGTTTATACAGAGTGCCAACAAATCCATTTGTGTCATCAAGGATTATCAGGAAAATGCATTCTTAACAAAAATCTAATATCTGCTTTTTCCTCCCTTTCATCCCTATCATTTTATTATCAATTACGAGGCTAACTGAAAGTTCAAAGCCAGTTCAAACCCGGCTACCTCTTGGACCAAGATAAGATCCTCTGAACTCCATTTGTAAGGCAGCAGTCCTTTCACTTTTTGAAAGTTGGCTATTTGATGCATTTGTTGTTATGACAAATTTCAAATTATGAATCTACTGTTTTTTATTCTCCTTTGTTTATACTCCTCAGAAATGTACCAATGTCCAGAAGTTATTAACATGACTTAGACTTTCTTGATCTTAGAGCTTTATCCAGCCTGCCTTAACTCTTCTAATCTATTCTTGCACTGTCCTGCAGGGAGTTTCATGAAAGGCAATCCACAGTGCATTAGTGCTGTCTTTCTTAAATGATGGCTCCAACAAAAAATATATAGAATTTGTTTGCAGTTTCTGTATTGTGTTATGACAACAGGGTAGGATTGTCAAGGCTGTTTGAAGCAAGTGCTTGAGGTCTCTGAATTCCTTGTTTTACAAACAGCTGTGTTTTGTGGAGGACACGTCTGCATCAGTATAATTTATATTTATTGGAGCAGTCCCTCTTGTAAGTCCCTTAAATGAACAGAGAACCTGGTTCAAGTCACTATGTTTAGTCAAAGAAAGATAATCAGAAACTTTCAAGGAATGTTTGATTTATTTGAGTCACAGGCTGAGGGAATGTCTTCATTGGTGGAAGTGAGATTGGCAAATTGTTTAACTATTCTCTACCTTAATGTGTAAAACAGATTAATTTTCAATGCTTTTTCTATTGTTAGGAGAGGTTTAAATTACCAGCACTTCATGATCCTTCCTATAATCTGTTCAACAACTTTGGTATCCTCTAGTACAATTTTTAGTTTCTTTTTTCACTGAAAACTGAAATCCAACAACATCACCACCAGCGCCTCAAAAATAATTTGTTGTGAGCTTATCATAATTTAAGATACTGGTAATTTAGTAAAACGATAGTAGTACAAGTATTAAAGAGCTACAAATGTATTTTCTATGTGGAGTATTTTAGCCATTACTGAAAGGGGTGAGAATAAGAGGGTGTAGTATTTATTTCATTGTGAGACACCAAAAAATTTGGATTTCTGACACTTTTGATGTATTTTCCAGTATTTTGGTTTTGAATCTAAACGTGATGTGGAATGCATTGGATCCCAAGATAAATTGGACATATATTTATTGAATTCTATTGTTAGAAATGTCCAAATCTGGCACTACAAGGCTATCCTTTATGTTGCCTTTCATAAAGACATCAAATTAATTGGCCTATTAGTAGAAAAGCTAACCTCGCTTCTCTTTTCAGATATATAGATAAGCTCTGGAAATCTTTAAGTTACCCTTGCACAAATATTGGAGCTAAAATACACCATCCAGAGGAAAAAAAATCCAAATTTGGATGTGTGAACCAGAGAATCACATAAGATTACAGGACAGAAAGAGGCTATTTGATTTTAACAGCATTGGCTCTTTGCCAGAGTAATCTAAAATCAATCCGACCACCCTGCCTTGTCTGTTATAGCTCAGTATCTATCTCTGCTTCAAACATTTATTCAATTGTTCCTTAAAAATAGTGATGAATTTTTTTTTAGCCATACGTTGTGGCAAAGCAGTCACCTTTCTCCATAATACTATAATAGCCTCTCATTCTTGGTAAAGGACTTAAATTGATGACCTTTCTTCATTGCTGCTCAAAAGGGGGAAGCAGTTCTTGTTTGTTGACTGTATGAAGTTCCTTCAGGGATTTGAACTTTTTAAAAACTTTACTCATCTGATCCATGTAGACTCATTTTTTTTTTTATTCATTCACTGGATTAGGGTGTTGCTGGCTAGGCCAGCATTTGTTGCCCATCCCTGATTGTTCAGGGGGTAGTTAAGAGTCAACCATGTTGTTGTGGGTCCGGAGTGACATACAGGCCAGACCAGGTGGGGAAGTTTCTTTGCCTAAAGGACATTAGTGAACCAGATGGGTTGTCCGACAGTCGACAATTGATTCATGGTCATCATTATTCTCTTCAATTCCAGATATTTTTTTTTAATTGAATTCAAAGTCCACCATCTGCTGTGTCAGAGTTTGACACCGGTCCCCAGAACAGACCTGAGTCTCTGGATTAACAGTCCAGCAATGCTACTAGGCCATTTCTTCCCACAATGTGATGTTACCATTTGATTTGTGTGATAGGAGGACTGTAAGATATTTTTGCAGGTGGAGATTTTTTAGTCGAAGTTTAGCATGGTATGACTGCATGTCAAACACATGCACAGTTGTATTGCAAAAATACAAGGAGGTTGAACTGACACTATTTGGACTGCCTCATATTGTTTCATGCTTTAGCACTTTCAAATGCATCGTGGCCTTAAATTATCCCATATTTCATTGGTCCCTCACACTGACACAAAACTAAAACCCTTTGTTTAATTGTGTTGGGATTAATAAGACTGATAGTAATGATCTGCCTGAGGGTAGGTTCTCTCTGTATTTCTCCACCTTGTGATCTCCATTTCCTTTGCCCATCAGAGCCTTCTATTTTCAATTTAAATTGTCTATTTCTTCACCTACATCCCTCCAGTGTTCCTTCAATCACCTCCTCAGCAAGACAGTATTTAATTGTTCAAACACGTTTGTGCAGCTCCTTTTGCAGTCAAAGTAAAAAGCAAATAGAACTTCTGAGAAGAGTTTGAAATAAAGATTTGAATTCCTGGAGCCAGAAAGCATAGAGTTGTTTCATTTTCTTCCAACATGCAGTTCCCTTCTCTCAGTTCCGAAATAGTTAGTTTGAGTTATCAGCAACTTCTACCTACTCCAAGACCATCATTATTAGCATGATCAACAACATCCCCATTCAGAATCATGGATTTTTTTTCACCGTGCAGTAAAAGAGCATTTGGCCCATTATGTCTGCACTGGCTCTTTGAACGTGCAACTCATTGCCAGTCCCCTGCCTTCTCGCCGTAACTCTGCACATTACCTTTTTCAGTTAACTATCTAACTCCCTCTTCATATCTTCAATTGATCCTAACTCCCAACAAACACTTGAACAGTGCGTTTCAGATCCTAGCCACTTGTGTGAAAAGTTTCAGTATATTACTTTTGCTGCTGCAAGGTTCTGCCAGAGCAATATTTCAGAGTTCATGTTTCTGCCAAATACTGTTCATTCAATAAAGCATACAGCAACTCACTTTTTGCATGATAGACAATTTGGCTTTCCCAAGCAGAGGAGGCAAATCCTTTTGCTTCATGGAGCAAGTTGAACCAGCTCAAATACTGGTTTTGGAGCAGTGCATAGACAAGACCCCAAAAAACTTGACCCTTAAGCCAAACTGAATTGTTTACAATGATGTGAGAAATTGGTAAAGATAAAACCTGATTAAGTGCACTTTTATTTAAAAGAAAAGCTTCTGTTTTTGCAATTCTGCTACAATTTTCAGCCAAAAATGTTATTGGATAAACATGCCTAAACCAGACAATCCAGTTGAAAACTCGCTTGTGTTTAGCAGTACAAAAAATACCATATAATGTACTTAAGAAACTGAAGTGTTAATTCTACCTTATTAGGAGCCATCAAGCAGGAGAGCTACAGTTCATGTTCTGTGTCAATCACAGATATGTAGATACATATTTTTGCAATGAGTTGAAAATCATG